TATTCATTGGTACAGAATAGTTAAAAACATAATTTGGGTATGAATAACAGATGGGATGGGGCTGATCTATAAAGGAATAGAGCTTTTGCACTTGATGTTAAGTTGGTATCAATTTAAGATGATCATCATAACTTTAGGATGTTATGTCTAATCCCTGTGGTAACAACAAAGAAAATACCTATAGAAAATACATAGAAGCAAATGAAAAGGGAATCAGTGTGTCTCTACAAAACCTCAGCTAACACAAAGGAAGTCAGTGGTGGAGGAAATAAGGGATAAAAAGGCTATAAGACATGCAGAAATAAAATGGTAAAGATGAATGCTTCCCTGGTAGTAATTACTTTAATTGTAAATGGTGTGTACACTGCAACTAAAAGACAGATTGATAGAATGGATTTAAAAACATGATCCAAAATATAGACAGTCCCCACCTAACAATGGTTCAACTTAAGACTGTTTGACTTTACAGTGGTGCAAAAGTCATACACATTCTTAGGAACCAAACTTCAAATTTTGAATTTTTAACTTTCCCCAGGCTACCAATACATGATACAATACTCTTGTGATGCTGGGCAGCAGCTGTGAGCTGCAGGTCCCAGACAGCTATGCAGTCACAAAAATGAAAAACTGATACATTTACAACTATTCTGTACCCATACAACCATTCTGTTTTTCACTTTAGTACAGTATTCAATAAATAACATGATATAGTCAACACTTTATTATAAAAAGAGTTTCTGTGTTAAATGACTTTGCCCAACTTTAGGATAATGTAATTGTTCTCAGTGTGTTTACAGTAGGCTAAGCTAAGCTCTGAGATTTGGTAGGTTGGGTGTATTAAGTGCCTTTTTGACTTACTACATATGGACTATAAAAATTCACTTTAGATATAAGGACACAAAGGTTTAAAGTGAAAGGATGGGAAAAGATATCCCATGCAAATAGAAAAAAAGAGAACAAAGATAGCTCTGTTAGTATCAGACACAATAGACTAAGTGAAAACCTGTTACAAGAGACAATTATATAATGTTTACATAATGATAAAAAAGTTAATTCACCAGGAAGATATAACAGTTATAAACACATATGCAACAAACACAAGACCTCCAAATATATGAAGCAGACATTGACAAAATTGAAGAGAGAAATAGACAGCTCTACAATAATGTAGGGTACTTTAATAGACTACTTTCCATAGTAGATAGAACAACCAAATAGAACAGTTGGAAGACTTCAATAACACTATAGACCAATTGGACCGAATGGGCATGTACAGAACACTCCACCCAGCAAGGGTAGGATACACATGTTTCTCAAGTATATGTTATATCCTCCAGGATAAACCTTGTATATATAGATCACAAAACAAATCTTAATATATTTTATAAGGCTGAAATCATAAAAAGTACCTTTTCCAATTACAATGAAATTAGAATTCAATAGCAGAAGGAAGAGTAGAAAATTCACAAATAAGTGGAAACTAACATTTTTAAACAACAAATGCATCCAAGAAGAAATCATAAGGGAAATTAGAAAATATTTGAGACAAAAAAAATGAGAACAACATACTGAAACTTCTGGGATGCAGCAAAAGTAGTGTTCAGAGGGAAATTTATCACTATAAATGCTTCATTAAAAGATTTTATAGCAATAACCTAACTTTATACCCTAAGTAGAAAAAGAAAAATTAAAGTAAAATAGCAAAAGAAAGGAAATAACAGATTAGAGCAGAGATAAAATACAGAATAGAAAAACTATTGAGAAAATCAGTGAAAACAAGACTTGGATCTTCAAAAAGATCAACAAAATTGACAAACTTTTAGATTGCTTAAGGAAAAAGGAAGAAAAACAAAGTCATATAGGAAAGAATATTACAACTGATTTTGCAGAAATGAAAAGGATTATAAGAATACTATGAACTGTATGCCAACAAATTGGATAACATAGATGCAATGGATAAATTCCTACAACACATGACCTATGAAGACCAAGTCTTGAAGGAATAGAAAATCTGAATAGATCTATAACTTGTAAGGAGAGTGAATCAGTAATCAAAAATCTAACCAGAGGGAAACTCAGGAACAGATGGTTCACTGATGAATTCTTGCAGTCATTTCAAGAATAAACATCAACCCTCTTCAAACTTCTAAAAAACTGAAGAGGAAGGATTATCTCCAAACTCATGAGGCCAGCATTACTTGATACCAAAGTTAGACAAGGACTCTGTAAGAAAACTACAGACCCTACGATTACTGATGCAAAAATCTTCAACGTAATACTAGCAAACAATTCAACAGCACTTGAAAAGGATTATACACCATGACTAAGTGGGATTTATCCTAGGACTACAAGGCAAGTTCGTCATCCGAAAACCAGGCAATGTAATGCAACACATCAGCAGGATGAAGGAAAACACACATGTTCTCATCTAAACTGAAAAACCATTTGACAAAATTCAACACCTTTTCTTGATAACACCACACAAATGAGGAACAGAAGGAAATGACCTCAAAATAATAAAGGCCATATATAGAAAACCTATAATTAACATCATACTCAGGGTGGAAGCCTGACAGATTTTCCTCTATAATAAGGAATAAGACAAGGTCCATTCTCACCACTTCTATTCAACACAATACCAGGAATCCTAGCCACAGCTAGTCAATAAATAAAAGGCACCCAAATTGGCAGAGAAGAACTAAAATGATCTCTGTTCACAGATGACATTATCTGGTTTGTAGAAAACTAAAGATTCCATACAAAAAAAGAACAAAACTTAGAACTAATAAATGAATTCATCAAAGTTGCTGGATACAAAAATCAACATAGAAAAATCAGTTGCATTTCTAAACACCAACAATGAACAACCCAAGAATAAATTTTTAAAAAAATTTTATTTTTATTAATATCAAGCAGAATAAAATACTTTGGGACAAAGTTAACCAAGATACAAAAGTCTTATACACTGAAAACTACAGAACAGTACTGAAGGAAATTAAAAGAGACAAATTAATGGAAAGGCATCTCATGTAAATGGGTTGCAAGACTTAATATTAAGATGTCAAGACTACCCAAAGTATTCTACAGCTTAAATGCAATCCTTATAAAAATGCTAATGACACTGTTTGCAGTAATAGAAATAAATTACTCTAAAATGTATATAGTGTCTCAGGGGACTCCTAATAGCCAAAACAATCTTGAAAAAGAAGAACAAAATTGGACTTTCTGATTTCAAAACTTACAAAACAGTGCGGTACTGACATAAAGACAGAAATGTAGACCAATGGAATAGAATAAAAAGCCCAGAAACAAACCCTTAATATATAGTTGAGTGATTTTTGATAAGTGTGCCAAGACCATTTAATGGGGAAAGTACAGTTTTTTCAACAAATAGTTTGGGAAAACTAGATAACTACACACACAAAAATGTAGACCCATATCTTACACTGTATATAAAAATAAACTCAAAATGGATCAAAGACTCGAATAAAACTATAGAACTCATAAGAAAACATAGGGGAAAAAACCCTCATGAAATTGGTTATGGCAATAATTTCTTGGATATGACAAGCAACAAGAAAAATTAGATTAAGTTGAACTTTATCAAAATTAAAGTCTTGTGCTTCAAAGAACAGAGTGAAAAGCCAGCCCATAGAATGGGAGAAAATAGTTGCAAACTATGTATCTGATAAGGGATTACTATTTAGAATACATAATTTTAAAAAATCCTATCAACAACAAAAAATCTGCAGAGAAGATACACAAATGGGCAGTACGCACATGAAAAGATGCTCAACATCACTAGTAAATGTAAATCAAAACCACAACGAGATGGTACTTCACATCCATTAGAATAGTCATCATCAAAGAAAAAGAAAGCAAAATAACAAATGCTGGCAGGAAGGTGGAAGAAATTGGAAACCCTATACATTGCTGACAGGAATTTTAAATAGTACACTATGGAAAGTAGTATGACAGTTTCTCAAAAAAGTAGTTAACATATGATACAGCAATTCTACCTCTGGGTATATACCCAAAAGAAAACAGGGACGCAAATGTTTGTGTGCTCATGTTCATATGAGCATTATTCACAGTAGCCAAATTGTGAAAGCACTTTACAGAGCCCATGACAGATGAATGGATAAACAAAATGTGTTATGTACATATATTCAGTAGAATATTATTCAGCCATGTTAATCTGTCAAATGCTACAACATATACAGACATTATCCTAAATGAAATGTCAGTCACAAAAGAACAAATATGATTCCATTTATATGAGATACCTAGAGTAGTCAAATCATAGAGATAGTATGCAGAATAGTGGGTCTAGGGATGGAGACAGAAGGTGTTAATATTTAACAAGTACAAAGTTTCAGTTGGGGCGTATGAAAAAGTTCTAGAGATGGATTGTGGAGATGGTTGCATAACAATTCAGCTATAGTCAAGCACAAAACTACACGTAAACATGGTTACGATGGTAAATTTTATGTTATGTGTATTAAGTTTTAAAAGTGGGAAAAGAAGTCAATTTAGAAATCTGTGGGGAGCGGGCTATGCCCTTCCCCCACTTGCTGATGTGGCGGGAATGGAGAACAAAGAACATCCTGGTCAGGCATTCCATGAGCAACTAACGGAACTCTGCTGAGCCTAACTTTGCCTGGCTACCGCTGACGTCAATACTGTGCTTGATTGTCTATTGGATAATGCTATGTCCTGGAATCATGTTACCCCACTGCATTATATAAACCCTGGACCTTCAATAAAGTTTGGCTGGCGACGCGAAGGAGCATCAGCCCTCCCCACCTCTCTTGTATCCTTTATTCCGGTGTCCTCACATCCTTCGGTAGCTCTGTTCGACTGCTGCTGCTGGACCGCGACAGAAATCATTTTCATTTGATTTGGAAAGTCTGATATAAGTGACATACTATTCCAGGTTTACTTACATATGAAGAATGACTGACAGATTGTTATTTAGCTATAATTCCTCATTCATTAAATACATAAAAAATGAAATGTTATTCTTCTTTTGTTTTAGTGAGGTTGAAGATTGTACCCCAGATACAAGTGCTAAAATATTTGAAGGTGAAAGTCTTTCCTTAATTCAAATTAGAAATTATTCAAATGGAGAGCTTGTTTAATGCTTTGATGAATCTTTAAGTTATCAAACCTGAAGTTGATACTGGTTTGCTTGTTTTTTTCCTGTGAGCTTATCTGCCTTTTGAAAATGATCCAGTACTGTATCACTCAAGTGTTAAAATGAGCCAATATTGTAGCTGTCCAATTCAATCATTTATTTATTCATTCATTCAAGCTCTAAGTAGTAACACAAACCTGAATTGCTACTAAGATTTTTTTTTATTTTGTTATCATTAATCTACAATTACATGAAGAACATTATGTTTACTAGGCTCTCCCCTACTCCAAGTCCCCCCCACACACAAACCCCATTACAGTCACTGTCCATCAGCATAGTAAGATGTTGTAGAATCACTCCTCTTCTGTGTTGCAAAGCCCTCCCCTTTCCCCCAAACCCCCACATTATACATGCTAATCATAATACCCTCTTTCTTCTTCCCTGCCCTTATCCCTCAAAAATCATTTTCAGTAAGATGATTTATAGAATAGTGACAAGTATGCCAGAATTCTATGAACATAGCATATCCAAAAGGTGTCACAATAATCACCGATATAATACCTGCATTTACAGAATCATAGGCTATTAGAGAAACCACTAAGAAACAAACCCCCTCATTTCTTCTATGAGGAAACTCAAGCTCAGCACAAGGAAGTGACTTGTCCAAGGTTACACTGAATAAGACACAGAGCCCAGCCTGGATCCCATCTCCTGAAGTGTTTTGTTCTTCCAACTTTGTTGCAATGATGATGCTTAATTCTTATATTCTTCAGTAATATTGCAGCTGTCCGATTCAATCATTTATTTATTCATTCATTCAAAGATTTACTGGGTACCTCTTGTGCTCTAGGATCCCATATATCCATAAGACTAACAAAGTCCTTGGTCTTATAGAATTTACATTATACCTTGGGGCAGGGTGTCAAAGGGTGGGGACATAAACAGGATCATCACAGATATTGAAAAGTACTTCCCATCTCATCTGGGACAAAAGCCAAAGAAAGTTCAATGGCTTGTGAAACCCTACATCATCTAAACATCACCCCAACCCCCTAATACCTCTCTAACCTCCTCTGTTCCTCTTCCTGGCTCACTCTGCTCCAGTCTCACTGACCTCCTTGCTGCTCCTTAAACATTTGAGGCATTCAGGGCTTTGTTCTTGCTGATCTTTGTGTAGCACACACTCCCCATATCTGCATTGCTCATTCCTCACATTCAGATCTTTGCTCAAATGTCACCTTCTCAATGAGGTCTTCTTTGGCCACATTCTTTAAAACTCATTTGGAGCCTCATTCTCACTATGTCAGTACCTGTTCCACTTCTTTGTTATTTTTCTCTCTAGCACATTGGCACAATTCCTGTTTGATAGTATTGTTCTTTTTACTATCTCCCTCTAGATTATAAGGTCCATGAAAATCACAACTGTATTCCTAAGAGCCTAACAGACATGTAGTAGGGAGGAGGCGTTTATAGGAGAGACTATGGGAGTAACTAGTGGGTGGGGTAAGGGGGTGTAGGGCACAATTATGTTTTCGTTATGTTGAAATTGAGGTATCCATTAGATATTCAAGTTGAGGTGTCACATACACAATGGGATGTTTAAGTCTGGAGTTCAATAGGTAGGTTAGGACTCGACATATACATTCTCAGTTTCACATAGAATATGCAATAAAATCTAAAATAACTTAAGTCTGAATATCTGAGATCTTCAATTATTGAGAATTTTTCTGTGACTTTTCATCGAAACA